TTATTTTTCAAATCAATATGGAATATGAACTCATAAATAATTTGACGATTTCGTAAAAAAAAAAAAAAAAAAATATGGTTTTCCGATTGGCTAGAAAGATACCAGCATATTTTTGGCTAGTCCCAGCTTTAGACAGTATCTCTGTTAATAATATTCAATACGTTTCTAGTTTTTAATATACAAAATTGTTGCTGATGTCTATGAATTTTTTTTAACTATATTATAGTTAATACAATAGAGGTGGGAATTATTGTGTTAATTCAGAAACAGAAATACTGAAAATAATGTACTATTGTCAATTGTCATTTTCCTTTCTACAAGTTTATTCGCTTGCTCTGAATGAAGGTTGGTTTACTTTTTGTTTTCTTTGTCTTTGAATGTTGTTTTTTATCTTTGTTATTGTTTGTTATTCTAGGCTTATGCCTCAAGTATGATGCAATATGTTATTATGATATGTAATTAAAGGACCACTATAGGCACCCAGACCACTTCAGCTTAATGAGGTGGTCTGGGTGCCTGGTCCATCTAGAGTTAACCCTTTTTTCTATAAACATAGCAGTTTCAGAGAAACTGCTATGTTTATAAATGTGTTAATCCAGCCTCTAGTGGCTGTCTCATTGACAGCCGCTAGAGGGCTTCCGCGTTTCTCACTGTGAAAATCACAGTGAGAAGACGCCAGCGTCCATAGGAAAGCATTGTGAATGCTTTCCTGTGGACTGGCTGAATGCGTGCGCGGCTCTTGCCGGGCATGCGCATTCAGCCGAAGAGGAGGAGAAGAGGGAGGAGAGGAGGAGGAGAGCTCCCCGCCCGGCGCTGGAGAAAGAGGTAAGTTTAACCCCTTCCACCCCCTAGAGCCCCGCGGGAGGGGGACCCTAAGGGTGGGGGCATCCTCAGGGCATTATAGTGACAGGAAAATGAGTATGTTTTCCTGGCACTATAGTGGTCCTTTAATTATGTGATTGTGCATATAACTTGAGCCTGTGCATAGGCTATGGATTAATGTTATATATAAAATTATGGAAAAATGGATAGAGAGAAAGTAGAGAGAGTATATCAGGTTGCTAAATATTAATGGGGGGGTAACCCCTAAACGTAAATTACTAATAAGAAAGGAAAAACATACAAGAATTCCAAAAAGTAAAAGAAAAAATGTCTAACAGCATTCACTTTAAGGATCTTGTATATTATCAGCAACCCTAATTAATCATCTCAGAAAAGAGATAAAATATAACTTTTAATTGATAAAGTTAAAATAACTGTAAGAGTAAACTAATATCTAAAAACATAAGAGCCGCTAGGCGGCGAAACGCGCGTCGGGACTTCTGATAGCTAAAGGGTGGAGGAGGTTGATAGGGGACTAAGCTGCAGCCGTTAGATTAATTTTCCTCCGTGTTAGCCAACCAGCTCAATTATTTTACTATGCTTAGTCAGGTAGCCGTTTAGATCGATCGGCTCCTGTTGAATTATAGAGGGGAAGGAGAGTGTGCTGCCAGTGTGGGCAAGGGTGATGGGAGTTGGGGGAAATTCTTTTGAGAATTCTTACTATACCCTTTTTTATTGTCTCTACACCTTTACCCCTTATACCCCTGTGCCACTGGTGTTGCTAATTTATATCGGCAGCACGGTCAAGCTATCACTTTCTCCTGTTTCTGTACCTCTTATGTTTTCCAGCAGTTCTGGAAGTCAATAACAGTGTTGCCTGAATATGACATGCTTCACATGATCCCTAACCTTATAACCATGCCAAACAGAACAATTATTTAAAATCTCCTAGTAGCGGCAAAAATTTGCGTTGCTCATCATTGGAAAAGCACCATAGCCCCACCAATAATGGAAACGATTCAAAGAGTGGATTCCATATGCTCATATGAAAAAATGTCCTTAACCCTGCAGGGTAAACCTTCCCATCATCAATGAAGGTGGGGAGCTTGGCATGGGATAAGGGATCAATTCCTCCTAGACAGTTAGGGAAAGCTGGGAGACCCTGAGTCAGGCGTACCACTTTCAACCAATATATGAGGGGCACTGCGCTAATTTACTAGCTCCTTGTCACTACTTACCAGCCAAGGTGGCGAATGAACAACTCGGCGTACTCGCTACTGACCAACCCAGGGTTGAGGACGGGTAGATAGTGTGACGGGGGAATCTGACCTGGGGCAGTCATCTTAGTAATGTTAGCTGAAGTTATGCATGAGGTAAAATTAGCTCATGATTTCAAGTGTGTCTATGGAGTGAAACCAACCCTCCACCTAACTTTCCCCCCTCCTTTTTCTCTGTTTTTATTTTTCCTACCAATCCCTCTCTGTCTTAGCGGTCAAACAACCAAGGGTACTGATGACGACAAAAGCTCCTCATGGTACAACATTTGCGGTTGAAGTATTAATCAATGCTAAACCCATAACGTAGCTCTACCCAATGTACCTTCTACATGTATGATGATGATGCAATATAACGTATTTCTATGCAAGTGATTCATGCAATGAGAACTACAAGTTGTATTACGTCATATCATGCACCCTTAATATACCTGTACCATGTTAAAATTTGAGCATGCTGGCACCAGGGTGTATGATGCCTGGCACATGAGATGCTTACTAATAGGCCCTTTGCTTTTCTATAACCGCTATGCTTAATTTACCCACCCAGGGCTGGGGTTGGACAGAGGGAGCACAGGGAAATCTGGCCCAAGGCAGCCATTTTAGTCCTCTTAATTAGGCTAGTTAAAGATATGTAAGATGCAAAATAAGTTCACAGTTTCAAGTGAGTCACTGGAGTGAAACCAACCCCCCCCCCCTCTCATACCCCCTTTTGTTTCTGTTAAACCTTTCTATCTTAGTGGTTAACCAGAGTTGATGTACAAATTACACCTCCTTAGGAGAAGGACGAAAGCAGGGATGTGCAGGCCTTTCATGGCACAAATCCTAAAATTGTAGTATTAAAAGGATCTACACCTAAATGCAGCTCTACCTGATATATCTACTACATGCACAATGACCACACACTGTAAAGTAATAACACATAAGCTAACTATGCAACATGTACTAAAAATTGTACCCTGCCATAACCTTCAATTATCGTTGTACCTTTACCATGTTAACTATTGTACTTGCTGGTACTAAATGTGTACGATGCCTAGCACATGTAATACTTACCAACATGTACCTTGCTTTTCTGTAACCACTAAGCTTATTTTAACAAAGAATTCAATTTAAAGAATTATAAATTGAAAAAAAAACTGCTTCACACCATTTTTTCATGGCTCAATTATAGTATACAGGGACTGGACATTGCAGGTTACTAAAATAAAGTCTGATTACCACTTACATTTTTTTAGAAAAAGTAGTAATGACATAGAGTCTTTAAGATATGACCTCATCAGTTTGACAGATAGTTGTAGTAAAATGTCTATGTACTCTAATAAGTTAGATAGCACGGAATTAATCCCAGAGACTATAGGTCTACCTGGAGGGTTAGCCTCATTCTTGCCTATTTTTGGTAAGAAGTAGATGACTGGGATTTTTGGAAGGGATATATTTAAATATGCAAATTCTTTTTTTATTAAGAATATTAGATTCCAAACCTTTGGTTAAAAACAATAGTAGCGAGTTCTTAATAGTCTGGGTGGGGTCTGATGGTAGTTTGTCATATATTTAATTGTTCAAAGCTTCATTGGTGTACATAGTTTGTGAGAGTATGACAAGGCCTCCCCCTTTGTCAGCTGGTTTGATAACAATAGTGTCATCTTTTTTGAGTTCTATTAATGCTTTTCTTTCTTGAAAGGTTAGATTATGTTGGTTGTATTTTTGGTTTTTGTAATAGTTGTTTTTGGAGGTTTTAATTTGATCTAAATTTAGTTTTACTAACTTTTCAAATACATCTATAGGACTTGATTTAAAACTTGATGGGTAAAATGTTAAATTTATCTTCAGTGTAGTGCTTACTAATGGTATTTCATTGTTGGTGCATTGTGTGGGGGTAAGATCCTCAGTTTGGTCATTGGTGGTAGGTTGTGTGTCTATTTTACTGCTAAAAAATCTTTTGAGTGTAGCCTTTCTGACAAACTTGTTCAGATCTAAAAATGCTTGAAATGGTTGATAAGGATTGTTGGGTGCAAATTTGAGACCTTTGCTTAAAACCAGGGGCGGACTGAGAGCCTTTGGGGCCCCCGGGCAAAATTAGATCCCAGGCCCTTTGAAGGCCAAATATATGTGCATTAAATAAATGTTAAATATAACTCATAATACCCTTTGGATGTGTATATTGTGAAGACCTGTGTATCAATGCATGTTTGTATTTGAGTCTGTGTGAATGCACTTGTGCATGTCTGGATGACTACATGTGCTTTTTTGTATATAGTGTCTGTGTGAATGCATATGTGACAGGTGACAGAGTGTGTGAGGGAGAAGGTGACAGGTGGAAGGTTGTGACAGGTGGCAGAGTGAGGGGCTACCTGGTGGCGGGAAGGAGGGGAGTGAGGGAAGGAGGGGTTGAGTGGTGGCAGAGTGAGGGGGAGACACAGTGAGTGGGGGTGACTGGTGACAGAGTGAGGGAGTGGGTGACTAGTGGCAGAGTGGGGGAGGGAGGGAAGAGATGACTAGTGGCAAAGTGAGGGAGGGAAGAGGTGACTAGTGACAGAGTGAGGGGATGACTGGTGACAGAGGAAGGGAGTGACTGGTGACAGAGGGAGGGAGTGACTGGTGACAGAGGGAGGAAGGGGATGACTGTCACTAGTCACACCCGCCCTCACTGTCACTAGTCACACCCTTCCTCACTGTCACTAGTCACACCCTCCCTCACTCTGTCACTAGAGTGAGGGGGTGACTAGTGACAGAGTGAGGGGGTGACAGGTGACAGAGTGAGGGAAGGGGTGACTAGTGGCAAAGTGAGGGAAGGAAGGGGTTACTAGTGACAGAGTGAGGGGATGACTGGTGACAGAGTGAGGGAGGGAGTGGGTGACCAGTGACAGAGGAAGGGGGGGATGGAGGGAGGGACTAGTGACAGAATGAGGGAGGGGAGGAGTGACTAGTGACAGAGTGAGGGAGGGGGTGACTAGTGACAGAGTGAGGGAGGGGGTGACTGTCACTAGTCACCCCCTCCCTCACTCTGTCCCTAGTCACCCCTTCCCTCCCTAACTGTCACTAGTCACCCCCTCCCTCACTCTGTCACTAGTCACCCCCTCCCTCACTCTGTCACTAGAGTGAGGGGGTGACTAGTGGCAGAGTGAGGGAAGGAAGGGGTGACTAGTGACAGAGTGAGGGAGGTGGTGACTGTCACTAGTCACCACCTCCCTCACTCTGTCACTAGTCACCACCTCCCTCACTCTGTCACTACTCCCTCCCTCCTTCTGTCACTAGTCACCCCCTCCGTCCCTTACTCTGTCACTAGTCACCCCCTCCCTCACTCGGTCACCAGTCATCCCCTCCCTCTGTCACCTGTCACGCCCTCACTCTGTCACTAGTCACCCCCTCACTCTAGTGACAGAGTGAGAGAGGGGGTGACTAGTGACAGAGGGAGGGAGTGGGTGACTAGTGACAGAGGGAGGAAGGGGGTGACACAATGACAGAGTGAGGGAGGGGGTGACTAGTGACAGAGTGAAGGAGGTGGTGACTGTCACTAGTCACCCCCTCTCTCTCTCTGTCACTAGTCACCCCTCCCTCTCTCTGTCACTAGTCATCCCCTCACTCTGTCACTAGTCACCCACTCCCGCACTCTGTCACTTGTCACCCCCTCCCTCTGTCACTGTGTCACCCCATCCCTCCCTCTGTCACCCCATCCCTCCCTCTGTCACTAGTGATCCCCTCCCTTACTCTGTCACTAGTCACCCCGTCCCTCACTCTGTCACTAGTCACCCCCTCCCTCTGTCACTGGTCAACCCCCCCCTTACTCTGTCACTAGTCACCCACTCACTCTAGTAACAGAGTGAGGGAGAGGGTGACTAGTGACAGAGTGAGGGAAGGGGTGACTAGTGACAGAGTGAGGGAAGGGGTGACTAGTGACAGAGTGAGGGAAGGGGTGACTAGCGACAAAGTGAGGGAGGAAAGGGGTGACTAGCGACAAAGTGAGGGAGGAAAGGGGTGACTGAGTGAGGTAAGGGGTGACTAGTGACAGAGTGAGGGAGGGGCTTACTAGTGACACAGTGGGGGGGTGACTAGTGACACAGTGAGGGGGGTGACTAGTAACACAGTGGGGGATGACTAGTGACAGTGAGGGGG